AGTACGGTACGTACGTACGTACGTACGTACGTACGACTATAGTACGTACGTACTACGTACGTACTACGTACGTACGACGACTATAATACGTACTAACAAAAAAAAAAAAAAAAAAAAAAAAAAAAAAAAAAAAAAAAAAAAAAAAAAAAAAAAAAAAAAAAAAAAAAAAAAGAAAAGTACATAATGAAAAAGGTTGGCTAGGACGTGCCCCTGCATGTTATTTGTCTTCCAGTTGTGGTGGCCTAACCTTAAGAGTCGGGGTGATCTGGTTGGGCCAAGCGACCCGACCTATTCTCAGCCCGAGACTTGGAATGTAGCCTGTACAGGGGTTTGATTATTTGTTGGTATTGGGAACACATCAATAAGTCAACAACAAAAGAATATCATTATTTTTATGTGGAGGTTTTGTCACTGTTATTTAATGATCTTAGAAACTAGCAACTTAGGCATTTACTACATTTGAATGTTTTTTGTTTGATTAGGATATGTGGTCAATCTATGCGCTTCTTAGCTCATCTATGCAAAAGTTTATTTTTAGTCAACTACTTATTGCTATAATGGTTGATAAATATGACCATATGTACCTATCAATAGTCGGGAGATATAGAAGTCATAAAGTAGAGAAAGGAAACAAATTAAGGACAACATTGCTACTACGAGTGTTTAGAAAAATGGATCGGTGATTCAAATCGGCTACCTCAAAAATTGTGTTGGATTGACATTGGTGATTTGGATTGAATAGTTGGCTAGATCGGCTAGTTTCGCCTTAAAAAATTTCAAAAATCATTATAAATTCTTAAAATTAGTATTTTTTGAGTTTCTGAAAAAAAAAGTAATGCATTATGTACTTAAAAAGAAGTAATGCATTATGTACTTTTCATTATTTTGTAAAAATACACGATTATTAAGACATCGTTTCTATATTTGGATGTCTATTGATATTAATTTTGATATTGATTTTATATAATAATTTTGATACAATACTTTTGCAAAAACTTTTAGACCCATTTTGTGATTTTTAGTAAAGAGATGAGTGAGAATGTGATTTTTTATACTAATTTTGTGATACTAATTGTGATTTTAATCCTAATTTTATTTTACTTTTTTGTAATTTTTTATTCTAATTTTGTGATTCTAATTGTGACTTTAATTAATCTCTCCTCTCTCTCTCCCAAAATTGATTTCAAATCCTTTTAAGAAAAATTGATCAAATACATAAATAATGTTTAAAACTTTTAAACATATCTTACTATTAATACATAGTGTTTCCCCTCTATATCTCCCTTTCTCTCTCTATACATATAAAGGGAACATTTTTTATTTCTTGAACGACGTTTTACTATGCATAGTAATTAACTTAAAAAAAAAAAATGCCAGTAGCCTACTTTTTTTTATTGGAAATTAGCCAGCAAAGAATTTTGTTTTTTGAGTTACATAGATAGCAAAGAACTTCATTTTCCAAACTAAAATGCGCATTCATTACCTACTATCTATATTATTAAGTAAAAGTTAGGAGGTGAACACATATCGCAAAAATAAAAAATGACCATAATGCTACATAGAGTGTAGTACACACTAACCCATCTTTAAGTAGAGAGAGATGCTTACCCTCTTTAGAGAGAGACGTGGATGAGAAAGACGCGAGAGAGATATATGAAGAGAAAAATAGACGGTCTAGATAATGTGTTGCAAGTTTTTGGGACTCAAATATTTATTTTTATTTTATATTTATACATCTTGAGGTTGAAATGATCAATTAGAGGGTTTTTCAACATTAAAACAACATTTTCAGATGGATTTGTGAGGTGCATATGTGATTCTACATTTTAAGTTTGCAACCTCATATAAACTTTTTCCTTTCTATTAAAATAAAAATATTGATGTAGAGATATATGAAGAAAGTCAAGAAAAATACTAAATTTTAGGGAGAGGCTCCGTCCTCGATAATGAAAGAAAGGAGGCATATTCATACCATGTACTTCCTTAAAATATTACATACAATATGCAATATTTTTAGAGAGAGGCATGAATAGTAGGTGTATATCTTAAATATTGCATGCATATTGCATTAAATATTGGACGTTTTAAAATGGAGCCTTTCTCTCTCTTTAATAAATTATTAGAAAGAGGTTTTGAGAAATTCACACATGTTTCTCTCTCTCAAGAGACATTCTGCAAACCATATTGCTAAGGCCATGTTAGATCTGCTACAAATAAAAGAGAAAATGTATGAAAGATTATTTAAAAATCCTTCTTTTGATGCATCTTCATTCACTTTTTAAATATAAAACACTAGCACTAGTAAAATATTTTCGTATTTTCAATTATTCTTAAGGTTAACTTTTTACTCTCTTTTTTGTTTTAAAATAACTCTTAAAATTAAAAAATATTTTAATCAAAATATTCATTCTATTTTAATCAAAATATTCATTCTAGAGCAGTTATGACCAATTTTCACACCTCTCATAAACAGATTTCAAATGTTTTGCTTAAATGTAGGCTGCCATTATATCTAGGCAATGAAGAAAAAGTCAGCCACTGGGCCTAACTTTAAGAGTCTAGCCGATCTGGTTAAGTGACCCGAGACCCCAGACTTGTAATGGAGCGTGTATGGGATTTTGTTTATTGGGAAATTATATAATAAGATATTTATTTTTTATATAAGGAGGTCACAATTATCATTAACCATTAGATTTGAAATCGGGTGGTTAATGATACGTCATTGTTTAGACACAAACCCAAAATATAATTTCTTGAATGTTGTGGCACACTTTCATCTCTTAAATATCACACTGCTGTAAACATTATACCAAAAATAAATGATCCAATCGCTTGTTTATTTGTTGGGATTGGAATCACATCAAGAAGTCAACAACAACATAAGGGTATCATTAATCTTGTCAAAAAAAACAAAAGGGTATTATTATTCTTATTTGCTGGTGTTGTCCTCGTTATTTATTGATATTAGCAACTAGCAACTTAGGCATTTACCACATTTGAATGTTTTGTATTTTATTAGAATATATGGTCCTTCTGTGGTCCTAGCTCATCTGTGCAAAAGTTTATTTTTGGTCAGCTACTTGCACCTATTAATGGTTGCCAGATATAGAACTCAGGACCACTTCTACCTATCGATGGTCAAAAGACAGGGAAGTCATGGAGTAAAGAAAGGAAACAAATTAAGGAAGACATGGCTACTACTAATATTTAGAAATACAGATCGGTGACCAAGATCGGCTACCTCGAAATTGGGTTGGATCGTTACATTGATGATCCGGATCAAATAATCAGTTGGATTTGCCAGTTTTGGCCTTAAAAAGTTTTCAAAAATCACTAAAACCCAAAAATTAATTTTTTTTGAGTTTTTTAAAAAAAAGGTGATGCATTATGTACTTTTTATTATTTTACAAAAATACATAAATATTAATTTTGATACTGATTTTGTTGTTTATGAATATTAATTTTGATGCTAATTTTGATGCAATATTTTTACAAAATTTTGTAGGCTCGTTTTATGCTAATTTTATTTTACCTCTTTTTGCAATTTTTTATGCTAATTTTGTGTTTCTAATTGCGACTTTAATTAATCTCTCTCTCTCTCTCTCTCTCTCTCTCTCTCTCCCAAAATTGATCTCAAATTATTTTCAAGAAAAATTGATCAAATACATAATAAACTTTAAAACTTGGAAAAAGTTTATATAGAGCCGAAGTTCTGACCAATCAAATTAGAGCCCACATCAAAAATTTCACCATAAGAGGTTATTTTAATGCCCAAATATCTTCAAATTGATCATCTAGATATCAATGTGCATGGACATGAGGAAAAAATGGATTTCAAGTTTTGAAAATAGTGCATCTTGTGACACATGTTTAGACCGTCAATTTTTAAGATTTTCAAGTTTTATAAGATATGCTCAATCTACATTATTTTTAAAGCTTTAAATTTTATAATTAAAAATAAAAATATATTTTAAGGCTATCACAAAAATTTTCAATATTAAAATTACATTTCTCGACACTATTTGAAGATGTGCTTTACTTTGATTATTTAGAGCCTCGTCTCCGTACAAACGCACTCTTAAAACTTTAAAATCATATATTTTATTATTTAATACATATTGTTTCTCCTCTATATCTGTATCTATCTCTATATATAAAGGCTGAAGCACCATATCTGGATTTTTTTTTGAGAAAATTATAAATACTTCAAATTTAGCTTTTTAGACATCCCTCCCCCAAAATTTTTTGCATCCCACCCTAAACCCCAATACTAATTTTCTTATATTCACCCCCAAATAAATAAATAAATGGATTTATAACAATAATACCCTTACTTTATCCCTTTTTCCTCTATTTGGAGTCACATGACTCTCTCTATCTCTATCCACTCTCTCTCTCCCAAAGTAAAAGCACATTCTCATCCTCTCTCTTTTTCTCATTCACGGTAATGCGGCTATATGTTGGACTGCATTGAGTTCTAGTAACGTAGCTTGTAATGCGGCCCGGCACCCAGTGCGCCGGACCAGTTAGATTTGGGTTAAGGCTAGTAATGTAGTCTGACACGTAGGGTGCCAGACCGAAAGAGTGAAAAAGGGAGAATGAGAGAGAGAGAGAGAAAATAGAGGATATGGGTTTTTAGAGAGAGAAAAAAAGAGGATATGGGTTTAAAGAAAGAGAGAATGAGAGAGCGAGAGAGATAAAGAGAATATATGGGTGTTTACTTTGGGAGGGAGAGAGTGTGGGTAGAGAGAGTTACATGACTCCAAATAGGAGAGAAGAGAGAAAATAAGGGTATTTTTTTCTTAAATTATTAACTTTTTTATTTGGAAGATAAATATAAAGAAAAATAGTATTAGGGTTTGGTGTGAGATACAAAAAATTTTGAAGGTAGGATGTCTATAGAGTTGAATTTGGAGAGGTATTTATAATTTTCCATATTTTTTCTTTCTTAAATGCTGGTAGGATGTCTATAGAGTTGAATTTGGAGAGGTATTTATAATTTTCCATATTTTTTCTTTCTTAAATGCTGGCAGAACCACTTGGGACGATTTTTTCGATATGAAATTTTGAGATATACCTGAGAATCACCAAATGAATATTATATCGATATGAAATTTGAGATATACCTGAGAATCACCAAATGAATATTATATAATAAAAAATGCGTTCATTAATACCTAAATCTCACCCACAAAATATAACTCTTTTCATGCACGTACAAACTACGATTCAATATAAGGTTAGTTGATAGATTGAAGACGTTAAATCATGAAACATTGGGGTCCTAGAAAAAGTCCTAGATTGGGTTTTATCCGACGGAGTAAATAGACTCCAAATTTCAAGGCAGTCCTTTCACTTACAAAGGGGCAGAAATATCTAAAATCCATTGGCTCTCTCCAGTAGGGGTGGTAATGGCCGGGTGGGGTCCGGTCTGCGTCAATCTTGACCTAAACTGGACTCAATTAGGTTTCACATGGACCTCGACTCAGGCCAAGACTCGAGTCAAGTAATTAAAAAAATAAAAAATTTGTTTCATATTTATACATTTTATGTAGTTTATACTGCATTGGGTCGGATCAACCCTGACCTGGACATGATACGGTTCAACATAGACCCGACCCAAGGCTGGTCCAAGTCACTTGGATTTGGACATGACCTGCTGGGTCCAAAACATGGACTAAACACGGACCTGGTTTGGGTGGACCTGACCTGATTGTCACCCCCACTCTATGGCCTCTAAAAATTATTTCATTTTGATTTTGTATTTATTTATTTGTGAAAGGAGTAGTTTCATAAAATCTTTTAGCAGGAGAGCCCATATCCGACTGTAAGTTGCTCAATCTTGTTGGCTGAAAATATCTACAAATATGATCATTTGAAGGGTGTGATCTCTTTTCTTCTTTTTTTTTTTTTCTTTTTAATTGATCGATAATGAGTAAGTCGTATGCTCCAAATAGGAATGGAATTCAAGAAGTCGGAATGGAATTCAAAAGGTCACATTGACAACAACCAACCCAGCCACCTATGCTCGAGTCCACCCCAACTTTGCACCTAAACCGTGTTTTCCTTTGAATTACAGTTTTGAAAAGCCCTTGGTTTTGGAGGAAGAACTTATGGCATATTACCCGACTACATCAAATTGGACATCCAATCTCCTAAAAGCCAAAAGATTTCTAGTAATTTCTCATTTTGAACAGAGCAAGAGAGACAGAAATCGATGGGAGTAATTTCGGGTTCTGACCTACTAGGATGGATTAAAGCATTGAGAGAGAAATTAACAATTTCAGATCAGAACCTAATCGTCCAGCACTGAAATTAATTAAATTTAAAGCCGTTTTCTCTCAAGGTAAGGACTATATGCCAAACCATAGGAATTTTACACGTATTAATCCATACAGATTTAACCAAAAGGGCAAAAAAAGTATAAATTCCAAAAGAACAGGAAGAAATTCAATTAAGGCCAGACATATACAAGAGCTGAATATCCGAGTAACGAAACACAGAACAGATTTCAATTGCTGAGAAAGAGAAGGCCTTCTCACTTCCACAACTTCCTCAATGACATGTTCTTCTCTGTTTCCTTCTTCATAACCTTGGCCACTGCCATCTCGAAATCCTCTTGGGTAACGTGAACTCGGCGTTCTCTAAGCGCAAACATTCCAGCTTCCGTGCAAACCGCCTATATGAGAGAGAGAGAGAGAGAGAGAGCGAGAGAGACAGAGTTGGTATCAGCAAACAATGGACAACTGTGAGACTGAGAGAGAGAGAGAGAGAGAGTTGCTATCAGCAAACAATGGACAACTGAGAGAGAGAGAGAGAGAGAGAGAGAG